GTGTACCAAACGGGCTCATAGTATTGACTAGATAATTAGGAACGTGTTTCTGTGAGTTGTAACTTGAGCATGTCCTAAAATTTGTATCATTGTATGAGATTGAAAGGGTCGTGTTTTATTGGACTAGATTATAGATTTTCCTCGCTCGTAGAGCTTCAATATAAATATTTTCGTTAGCGCAATATCTATCATGTAATAGTTTTACTAATAAATATTCTGGTATTTCAAGATTTAAAAATTGGGACTGGTTTTTCGTCAGTGTAACATTTTTCTTATTTTTTTTTTTAACTTGTGTAAGTTTTCAGAAATGTTAGTCAAAAGAGTAAGGTAATCATACATTGACACACTGATAAAAATCATTTTATTCACCAGCGAAGGTCGTAGAGAAGCTTGCTGGTGATATTTAATCCTTCTTAATGCTTGATATTCAGGGGTTTAACTAGCCATGTAACAATCGCTTATAGCGCAAAGAGATTTTATAACACTGTTGCGTGAAAAAGGAAATTTGGATGGGATTATTTAACCATGGTTAGGAAGTTGAGTTTGGGTGTTGTGGGGGGTGGGGCACCTAACTTCTTTTGAGGACAAATGACACGATTTAAAATATATATGTGTTGCAAATTCCAAAGACCGTTTAACACTAAAAAGAACAAATTTGTCTCGAGGACACGAAATACATTAGTTAATTTCGAATTCTAAAATCTCTAATAAGCGTAGTTATTAGATTCGACTCGGACATCGACTCAGACAAGGTACTGGGTCTCGAGTTACTGGTTGAACCGGTAGGTCAATGGTCGGACCGGTGAGTCATTGCATAAAAATCTATAAAAAAAAAAAAAGAAAGTGAAATTTTTTTAGGTAAAGTTATTATTTTTAAATTATTTTTCACTAATTATTTAGGTTTATAAAATAAAGTAAAATATTTAACCAAAGTTTTTATAAAAGTACTTTTAGAAAAATTATTATTTTTAATATATATGATTCATTGGATGCATATAACTTATTGTACATAAAAAGTATTAAAGTGATCTACAACTCCAATGATGAAGAACTAATTGTTTTACTTAGAGGTCCAATGTTCAATTTCTTGAACTCACAAAATTTTGAAAAATCATTTTGAAAATTGGTAAACCGGATTAGTTAACTCGATCAATCAAAGGCGGTTTTTGACTGAGTCATGTGCATTTCTATTAAGTTAATATACCCGGCCCGGACAAGAGCTCGGGTCACCGATTTTCCAGCCCGTCCGGTCAAGCCGGGCCGAGTTTTATAACTATACTAATAAAGAAATGTTTAATGTTAATAGGAAGAGTTCACAAATCAGGTCTCGAGTTTCCCAAATTCAAAATTCAGGCCTTAAGTTTAAAAATACAAAAATCAGGTATTTGTTAATTAATTAAAAGAAAAGTGGTCTCACTAATTATCATACTTATATATCGATCATGCTACATATATATATCATATTGTACATTATTTTTTACAGTATGCCACGTGGCATTATACTATTGAACGATTTAAAAATATAAACAATTTTTTCACCAATCAAATATTGTTAACTCGAGTGATGTCAAAGAAAATGTACACTTTTGACGTACAAATGGCTTTTCCAAATATATACACTCTTTAAGAATGTAACAACCCCTCCAACTACTTTAGCTGAACATTTGATGCGATGACTATCTACAATGCAGCTGGATGTCATCTTGCCACTAGCTGGATTCAAAATCTATTGACGAAATGTCGGTTTCAGTTTACATCAATAGCCTTGGAAAGCGAATCCAAAAATAGGGCTTCGAAAATTTTGAGACAAGTTGATGATTAAGGGCATGTTTGGCGGACTTTTGAAAATTATTATTGAGACTAAGAAGTTTTTTGTCGACATGTTTCGAATAATTTTTTTAAAGTGGTTTATCTACTTAAGAAAATCTGTTTAGGAAACTGATACGATGACTTTCTCAAGAAGCTACTCTCCAAAATGCAAAAGCAAAGCCTTAGCCCGAGTCGATAAAATTACTATTTTGTAGGGTGTTTGACACCCATTTTTTGGAGAATAAAATTTTTGGAATAGTGATTGATGGGAGAATGTGTGGTGGAAAAGTTATGAATTTTTTTAGCTTTGTGTGTAATATTATTTTATTTGGAGAATGTGTGGTTGAAATGAAGAAAGAGAAAAAAATGAGAATTGTTCTATATAGCCCCTCTTTGGACCACATTATTTTTTTCATTCTCATTCTTCTACTCATTTTCAACCACACATTATTCAATAAAATAATATTTTCTATCACATCAATAACTTTTCCTTCTTTTTCAACCACATATTCTCCATCACATCACTTCAAAAAATGCGTTCTTTCATTTTAATGTGTACCAAACGGGCTCATAGTATTGACTAGATAATTAGGAACGTGTTTCTGTGAGTTGTAACTTGAGCATGTCCTAAAATTTGTATCATTGTATGAGATTGAAAGGGTCGTGTTTTATTGGACTAGATTATAGATTTTCCTCGCTCGTAGAGCTTCAATATAAATATTTTCGTTAGCGCAATATCTATCATGTAATAGTTTTACTAATAAATATTCTGGTATTTCAAGATTTAAAAATTGGGACTGGTTTTTCGTTAGTGTAACATTTTTCTTATTTTTTTTTTTTTAACTTGTGTAAGTTTTCAGAAATGTTAGTCAAAAGAGTAAGGTAATCATACATTGACGCACTGATAAAAATCATTTTATTCACCAGCGAAGGTCGTAGAGAAGCTTGCTGGTGATATTTAATCCTTCTTAATGCTTGATATTCAGGGGTTTAACTAGCCATGTAACAATCGCTTATAGCGCAAAGAGATTTTATAACACTGTTGCGTGAAAAAGGAAATTTGGATGGGATTATTTAACCATGGTTAGGAAGTTGAGTTTGGGTCTTGTGGGGGGTGGGGCACCTAACTTCTTTTGAGGACAAATGACACGATTTAAAATATATATGTGTTGCAAATTCCAAAGACCGTTTAACACTAAAAAGAACAAATTTGTCTCGAGGACACGAAATACATTAGTTAATTTCGAATTCTAAAATCTCTAATAAGCGTAGTTATTAGATTCGACTCGGACATCGACTCAGACAAGGTACTGGGTCTCGAGTTACTGGTTGAACCGGTAGGTCAATGGTCGGACCGGTGAGTCATTGCATAAAAATCTATAAAAAAAAAAAAAGAAAGTGAAATTTTTTTAGGTAAAGTTATTATTTTTAAATTATTTTTCACTAATTATTTAGGTTTATAAAATAAAGTAAAATATTTAACCAAAGTTTTTATAAAAGTACTTTTAGAAAAATTATTATTTTTAATATATATGATTCATTGGATACATATAACTTATTGTACATAAAAAATATTAAAGTGATCTACAACTCCAATGGTGAAGAACTAATTGTTTTACGTCCAATGTTTAATTCCTTGAACTCCCAAAATTTTGAAAAATCATTTTGAAAATTGGTAAATCGGATTAGTTAACTCGGTCAATCAAAGGCGGTTTTTGACTGAGTCATGTGCATTTCTATTAAATTAATATACCCGGCCCGGACAAGAGCTCGGGTCATCAATTTTCCGGCCCGTCCGATCGAGCCGGGCCGAGTTTTATAACTATACTAATAAGGAAATGTTTAATGTTAATAGGAAGAGTTCACAAATCAGGTCTCGAGTTTCCCAAATTCAAAATTCAGGCCTTAAGTTTAAAAATGCAAAAATCAGGTATTTGTTAATTAATTAAAAATATTTTATTAATTAAATATATTACAATCACAATTATATAATTCATGGTCACAGATGCATGTTCATGAGTCACAACTTTTTTTTGGTCACATATTATCAAATTAATTGTCAAGATTATTTTGAGGTCATAAATAAAAAAATTTGTATATCACAATTTATTTCATTGGCCACGAATCAAAAAAATTATAGGTCATGTTTTATATATCGGGCACACATTTTCAAATTTTTTAGTCACAAATTATTTTTTAATCACAAATTATCGAATTTTAAAGTCACATTTTAATAGTTAGTCACATACACCAAAAAATCACACCCCCGATCCCGATCCACCACTAATACTTAGTCACAGACAAATCAAATAATTGGTCACAAACAGTATCCCACCATCGCCACCGCTGCCACCATAACAACATCACCATAACAACGCCACCACCACTAGATCCAATACATTGCCAACAAAAATATCACAACCACCAATGCCATCGCCACCACCAGTCACCACTGCTACCCTCGCCACCATTTTTGCAACACCACCATCACCACAGCGCACCAGCAACACCACACACATACAGTCACCACCGCCAAAACACCACACACACCAATCATCAACAGAAAGTTGCACAGTTATCAGTTGTGTGAACGGGCTTGCAGCTTTTGATGGGGATGTTTATTTGTTGATTGGCGACCATGGGTAGGGTGGTCTTGAGGAGAGGAATTAGCCAATATATTGGGCATTCCATGAGGAGTTGCCGGCATCAGTCGGTGCTGACTACAGCGTCGGCCAGCGACGCTGCTGAGAACTCTCAACAGCCCTCGATGCCACAGCGTTGTCGGCCTACGCAACTCCTTCATTGTTGGTCGTCGACGTTTGAAGAGAGAGAGGGAGAGAGAAAAGAAGAAGGAGAAGGGAGAGACGTAGAGATAAGAGTAAAAATCGGCTAAAGAAGAAAGAATGAATACTGAAAAATAATTAGGGTTTGGGTGGGGTGGAGTTAATTTAATTTTAAGATATTAAAAAGTTTAAATTAATACCTGATTTTTGAATTTTTTTTTATCAAATCTGATTTTTGAAATGTGATATTTAAACACATGGATTTGTGTAATTTCCACAATGTTAATTTTACAAAAATAAAATAGACAAGTTTGGAGGCCCAGTACAATGGGCCTAAGCATTATCATATATGTTTCTTGTAAAGCTTTGTAAATATACCGAACCTAATTAGCAGCTTGTGCTGAAAAAATGGCGAAGAAGCAAGAAGCGGCAGAGAAATCAAGAAGCCAAAAAAATTCAAAATCAAAAATCAAAATCAAACAGAAGAAAAATGATGAAGCTGAAGAGCCTGAAGTTGCAATCGTGCCGTCTTCGAGCACTGAATCCCAAAACGACGTCGTTGAAGAATCCAGCAGGGAGGAGGAGAACGGAATAATGGGAGAACAGATGGTAAAACGGAAAAGAGAGGAGATGGAGAAGAACGGTAAAAAGGAGGTGAAAAATAAGGGAAAAAGGAAAATTGGAAAGGAGGAAGAAGAGGAGGAGAATAGTGGGACTACTACATTGTATAAGTTTCCAATGAATCGGGTCAGTCGGATTATTAAGAGCGAGGATTCGGATCTTCGGATTTCTCAGGAGGCGGTTTTCCTCGTCAACAAAGCTTCGGTATAATTCTCAATTTCTTTGATTTTGACTTGTTCTCCGATGTATGCACATTGGAAAGTGCAATTAAAAAAATTAGGTTTCAGCATGATTTCATCTCGATTTGAAATGTTTTTGGGCTCTTTCTTCACGTTTTACAACTTTTTGAATGCATAAGCTATGCAATAAATTTGAGAAATAACTAAATCAGTTCGTCAAATAGGCATTGCTAGAGAAACTCATAGTGCCCAATTTATCAATTGATTTTTATACTGGTTTGAGGAGATTTTTTTCTGGAAAATTATGCTATTTTCCAATTTTTGAAATGAACTATAAGTTAAGATTCTTTTAATTATCCACTTCAAGCATTAACTTTTATAACACAATTTTTTATAGTCCAGTCCATGGAATGCACTATTGTCCATGGCATTATACTAGCAATGTGTTAATCCATGAAAAAGTAGGTACATGACTAGCAGGTGGGACGAAGAAACATGATAAAATATAATTAGAATCCTGATGGATGATGAAGGAAATAAAGTCGAAGATATTACCCTTTTTGTCTTCTGAAAGAACGCAATTTCATCAACTGACACCAAGGATATTCCATCACCATTCGCAGATTGATAATGGTCTTGACTGCATTTGCCTAGTAAGTCTCGGTTAGTGCCTTTGCACCAAAAAATGAGGGTGACAGGGGACTTGTATGATGGAAAGAGAGGCTGGTGCCCAATTTAAAGATCATTAAAAAGGTCTTTTGCATATAATTTCAAATATCTAGACAGATGTGCAATCATTATGACTATATTGCTTGATATAAAGTAATGAGTTGAATCCGATTCAAGATTATGTGTAGTTTAAAGCATTTCTTGATAAGCTATGGTTGGTTTAATGTGGTGGTAGTGATTATCTTGAAGTTCATTTTTGAAACGTAGCCCCCCCAACATTGCTTTTGTTCATTGCAGGAGAAGTTTCTTGAACTGTTCTGCAGGGAGGCCTATGCTTGTGCTTTTATGGATAGCAAGAAACATATCGGATACAACCATCTGTGTAATGTTTTCTTCCATTACTATATCAGTTCACTCAAAATAAATGCATGCCACGAACTAATTACACATTTATGCATAGTTATACGACCTAGCTCCAGTGCATGTGAATCCTTGTTGCTGTAAGATAGGTCATGTAGTGGACTGCAACTGCTCGTGCTTGGTTTGGTGCACCTTCTTCCTTAAGGGTGCATGTATTACACATGTTTATGGTAAATTCTACAGAATTGTGTTTTCTCATCGAAATATATACATTCGGCCTTCCTGCTGAGGCATTTAAAAAGGCTCAGGCATTTTATGAATGCGAGGCGAGGTGTAAGCCTCACGGCAAACCTCAAAAGAAAAACTACAATAACATGCTTAATAACCATATTCCTTGTTGAAAATTCTTAACAAAACAAATTAACATAATTAATAGCTAACTTTCAAAACAAAAATAAAAAGATTAATAAATTAGCAATCAATAATTTCTTAAATTAGTAAATCCTTAAGAGAATCATTTATTGCCACTCATCCTCGTCAGTTTTTTTTCATTTCTCACTTGTAACGTCCATTTTTGGCTAAGCTTAAAATTTCTACTTGCATGTCAAGCTACTTGTTTTTTGACACAATCAGTCCAGATTACATCACAATGCCTTAATCTACTCTGCTTGTGCTATGAAAACGAGGAGAAAATTTTAGTGTCTATTTTATATTTATTTTCACATGTATGGTGAAATACATCTTTTGGTCCTTTCAGCATCAGTTGTTTCCAAGCGAAGGAGATTTGACTTTCTCTCAGGTACTTATTGTTCCCCTAATAGAACTCTTGTGAGCATCTTCATATCTAACTCTATGAGGCTTTTCCCTTATTTATTCTTTTTGCTTTTATGTGTAGATTTTGTTCCAGAAAAGGTAAAGGCTGAGGATGCTTTGAAACAACTGTCAATGGCTGAGTGATCTGGATGGAATTTTGAGAGGTTATTGATTCACTTACATTCTAGTAGTTAACTAGTTCTTTCAAATTTCTATGGTGTAGCAGCTACTCACATATATCCTGGAAGCATAGCCAGCGCTTTTGAGTAACTTATATGCTTGTATTTTCGGCTCTGTTTCTTTTACAACGGAAAAGTATATTAGTGTTAAGGACGGCAGTCACTGTAAAGGATTTGTGTAGCTTTCTACTGTAGATTTATTTTACAGTTCAAGTAGTGATGGACTTTCTTTCATTTGGTGTTCCTTCACTTAAACTTTGTGTGCTTCCAGGGGAAATTTGATGGTGAAATAGTTGAATTTTTTCATTTTGCAACTAATTCCTTGGACAAATTTTTGTTGGAATTTCTTTGTGAGTAAATAATTTTATGTGAGATCGTTTTGGGATTAATCTACGAAGTAAAATTCTCTTCTAGAACAGTTTATAGGATTACTTAGCTAGCACAAAAGGCAAAAGCGTAATTTGAACATAAGCAAGAATATGGGACCTATTGACTTGGTGGAATGTATAATTGCTTCACAACAGTTCAGAAATCAATACAAGTGAATGCAAAGCAATCAGAGAAATCCTTATTTTTCAAACTCACCCTTTGAGATAACCTATTTTTCCTGCAATTCCAAGCAAACTTTCAGCTGAAATAGTCTCTCTCTCTCACATACACTCGAATAAAATACTAATAAGATTGATTCATTGTTCTGACTAAAATTGGGACTTATTACCAATTTTGACATCACCTAACATTTCTTCTTCCTAACCATAAAATCCCCTTTACATCATTCTTTGTACTCACCATTTCTACATATTGTTGTGACATAGGTCTCCATAATTCAAGTCAATCTCCTCTCTAAAATGGACCACTTCCCTGTTTCTATGTTACTTCTTGTACTTCTCTTCTGCTGCACCAAAACCATAGCTCAAGCACCAGCTCAGGCCCCGGCACCAGCGGGTCCAACCAACATAACCAAAATCCTCGAAAAGGCTGGTCAGTTCACTATGTTCATCCGGCTTCTTTCAATTACTCAAGTAGGGGACCAGATCAATACACAACTCAACAATTCAAACCAGGGTTTAACAGTATTTGTGCCGACTGATAACTCCTTTTCTAGCCTCAAATCTGGCGTTCTAAATTCCCTAAGTGATCAGCAGAAAGTTGCATTGGTGCAATTTCATGTACTGCCCACTTTTCTCTCCATGTCACAGTTCCAAACTGCGAGTAATCCATTGAGGACTCAAGCCGGAAACAACGATAATGGGCAGTTTCCTCTAAATGTGACCACCTCTGGCAACCAAGTGAATGTGTCGACCGGCGTGGATGATGCCACGGTGGCTAACACAATTTACACAGACAACCAGCTAGCAGTATATCAAGTTGATAAGGTTCTTCTTCCTTTGAGCATTTTTGGTTCGCCAGCCCCAGTCCCGGCACCATCAGCACTGGCCAAGAAGAAGTCACCAGCTGCTGATGCCCCGGTATCTGGCAGTGATGATGCTCCGGCGGATGCTTCGGGGACAATTGGCCTCGACATGCATGGCATGCTGATGGTGGTGCCCCTTGTAGCTGGTGTCATAGCGACACGTTGGTGGTGATAATATAGATGGACATGTTCGCAACATGGATTCATTTGTTCGGAGAGAACTACTATTTTGTTTGAATGTGATACGGAGATATATGTATAGAGATACAGTGTCTTATAGTTGCCCATTTCATTCACCTCTCTTTATTCAACTGCTTTGCCCTTAGGCCTCTATTTCTCCCATTTGAGTATCTTGTAATATTTCTTCCATTTGAGTATCTTGAGATTTTGTAATCTAAGAATTATATCAATTTGTGTGATATGTAAAACTCTTTACTAAACTAACCTTCACCGAAATAAATAAATTAAGCCCATGTTTGGTGTAGATTAAAATCAAATTTTTAATAGATTTCGATAAAAGTTGATGAAACGCGCGGTTAAAAAGATGTGAGTCCCATAAAATGTATGGTTAAAATTAACTAAACACGTGTTCTTTTGAATAGATTTGTAAAGAAGTACAATTTGACGAAAAACTTGAAGAAAAGTTAAAGTACAATTTATGGGGACGATTTCTAAGACAGTTCTCTAAGACAAGACTTTATTGAGAATCTAAATAATGGCCTTGAAGTCGGACTAAATTTTATACTTGTTCCTGAAAGAATCCTTGGTTTAGTCTAAGTGCTTGTTTAACTAGGCAAATTTTAATTTTAATTACATATTTTATGGTATCTACAAATTTTCAAACACAAATTTCATAAACTTCATTGGTGTCTCGAATTGTTTAGTTCATACTGTTACTAGTCCATTGGAATTATGGTCTTTCAACCCTTCCCAAGTACATCATGTTGGAATTAATTGAATTTAATTCGGTTAAATCATTAAATGTGATATTTAATGATGCGTGCATTGTAATTAATTTGATGAATTGGAAAAGTCTCAAATATAGACCCATAAGTTGATAAGTCCATTTTAAGTGTCTTATATATGGTTAGGAAGCCCACATCGAAAGTTTAAAAAAAAAAAGACTTGTTTATATAGCGGGCTTGTGTGAACAAGCTATAATTTAATAAGTGATCTACAATTTGGCTAACTTTGGCTAGCAAACTAGCCACCACTAGAGTGGTGCGAATTAGCGCCAGATCATGAAATGGTGCGATCCAATGGCTAAAATGAATCACACCAAGTGATGCACCGGTTCATGAAATGTCACACACATTCAATGAGACACTTTTTCTATAAATAGAGACCTCCGATTTATTTTTCGACATACCAAATCAATTAAAATACAATTGATTTCTAAATTCTTTCAAATATATTCGTGGTTATTCTGTTCGAGTACGATCGTTCTTTGGTTTGACCGATAAGATTGGTATTATGCTGTATCGACTTTGGAAGGAGCGTTGTATCTTGGAAGACAGACGTCTATAATCTCGTTTGCACTTATTAGGGGGCGAAATCTATTTTAAGGAGATTTTATTTGGCATACCTCACTGGAGCTACTGCATTTCATTTTCTATTCATTTTATTTATTCTTTCGATTGAGATAATAAAATTTTCGACACCACGTCATGTTTCTAATGTTTTCGTATGTTGGAGGTATTTATGTTCCCCTCTATATTGTCGTTTACATTTCTTATTTTGTCAATAGTAAATTGGTAGGAACATAGCCCAAGTTTGATTGAATGAAAAAGACCTTACTCAATGCAAACAACACACATGCTTTGTCCCAGAAGATTGGACACAAGATGATCGATCGTACACGTCAGTTGACATCTCCAATGTCTTCATTATTTAAGGATTCGTTAAGTTTTACGCCCTTGCTAATGCATCAGACCCTACTAACCTATTGAGGAACGATAGCTTAGGTATATGTGTCAATTCTATAGGAACCTTTTTTGAGCTTTGAAAATTCCAAGACTGGAATTCTCTTTTTGGTCCAAATACTTTCACAACGAAAAATACTTATTTTCTGCAATCCCAAGAACCAACTTCTTTGATAATTATATGCCAGAATCCAATTTTTTTAGCCTTTTTCTATTTTGCCTACGTAGCATTAAGTGCGTCAGTTTGTTATTTGATGCATAAAATAATAAAAAATTACTGCATTGATACATCACTACAACATATTAACTCATTTATAGCTTGCAAAGAATGCTATCTATCGTGTTCTATAACAGGTTTTGGAATGTTATTGTAGGTGGTATTATTAAAAAACATACATCTATTATAACATTTTTTGAATGTTATTATAAAGTACTATAGAAAACCTTAAAATAACATTTTGTTATAGTCATAATTTTAGTATTTATAACTTTCTTTTTGTACAATCTTTTTTATTTTGATAGCATTCTTTTTCATTATAATTTTGGTTTTAATAGCATTTTTAATGGACGTAGTTACATGTTCAATAGCATTCATTTTCCATCATAACTTTAAAATTTATAGCATTTGTTGAATGCAATGCATACACTTTCAAAAACATTTCTTGATGTAATATATACATATTAAATAGCATTCATGATATGAACAACAATAATCTAGCTAATAATAAATTTCAAAACACGCATCAATATTGTTTCGTAGAAATACACAAATTTAGCTATTCAATAGAGAAATTTAGACATTGTCATCTACACATCAATTACTAATAATTTAGCTATTCAATAGAGAAATTTAAATATGTTTCATCTACACATCAATTACTAGTAGCAATATATGCTTGAAAATGCAGTAAACAAAATCAAATTGGAATCATCTTATTCTAGTTCTTCAAAAGAAAATTTCTTGAATTCTTGTAACATATTTTGAAAAGAAATCCATTAAATCAATGATGCATTTAAACCTGAAAATTAACAGTGAAATAACTTTTTAGATTATAAAAATAATGTAAAGTAAAAACTCTAATTAGAGACCGAAGATATTATAATACAAAAATTTACCTTATTGTCTATGATATTTACTCTATTACAACTTGGTCAGACGGCAATGCAACCGTTGTACCAACGTATTCTTCAATACAAATCAAAGTAGAAGTATAGATCCACGGAATGAATGGAGCATGTTCTTATTAATTGCCTTGTGGCAATAACTGTCTTGAAACACTTCAAGAAAGAATGACTTATCAATCCCCCGCAATTGGTGTACACAAAATGGAAACGGTACAGAGCAGAAATAAATGATGAAATATGAACAAATTATTAGAGAAATTACAAAGAAAAGATTTAGGGAATAGAGATTAAAGAAAACTATGACTGAAATCCATGAGAATCGGATTATCCCGAGCTCTTGTGCACGTTCATAGGAGACTGGTGGGCAAGAAAGCGATGAAGATTGAAGAGAACTGATTTGCTAAAGAAAAGAATTTGGAAATGAATCGACAAGGAAGAAAGAAAAATAAGGTTGCTTTGGATAAAATATGGAGGGAAGTTTTTTGGACTGCTAAATTTAGTGGG